TTTTAGAGGTGAATATTAACATTGAAATATCATTACTTCATCAAAATTGACCATCAAATATGTATAGCACATTATTAATCATAAAATACTCCAAAAATACTTTCACGTTTGTTGAATCTCATGCGATGTTTTGACCTTTGTTTATCCTGTTTTTACATTTGAATTTCTCGCATAATACGGAATCTCACCTTGACCGGAAAATAGTGTATTAATGATATGTATTGCTGTATATGATTTGTAACATTTGGTAAGTTGTAAAAATAATATAATCAATTTAATGGATAATATTTTTCAAGTAATAGAACATTTTCTTCTTTGTGGTACAGTATTGTTATGTATCTGTATTTATTTTGCATGATGTTTCATTTACACTCGCTTCCATGCCTTTCTCATACTGCACAGAGTTGGCCATAGCTTCAGTGTGTGTGTGTTGAAACATTTTCAGACATTTAGCCAGCAATGTGGTAACTATCAGTTATTTATCTTTCTGCCACACTGTATTTTTACAAAAGAATAGAAGAGTTTATACATACAAATATATATATTTGTTGCTTAATACATTTCAACTATATTTTCTCTTTTCTGTAATTCTTTGTATTATAATAGCAATACAATTAATTGAAATTATGAGAGTACCTTTATAAGAGATACATACCACAGTCCAGTCTACTGTGGCTAATCATAACCTGAAATGAAAGGTTTTAATTTTAATAAACCTTCTGTATTTGAACGAGAAGTAAAAGTGGATATTTCATACCTGTGTATAACATACATGGTACTCTAGTATTTACGTACGTATCTACAGCATATGCTGTACTTTGACTGTTGTTTGAACACAATTCAACAGCAAGTGGTCAAAAATTTCTATAATACCAAGTATTTTAAGTTATCATTCAGAGATCTAAAATGCTCTTTATCTTTCCCAAATTGCTACTATCTACAGGAGTATATTCCTAGGTGTTTGACTATTAAGGTTCAAATTTCTCATTGTCAGAAATCTTCTGTAAAGTGAGTGTTCCTTACAAATCGTGGCCACAATCAAATATTATTATACATATT